ACATTCTGACAAAGTTTGATTATGATCCAATAAAGATTGTGTCTGCTAGAGTAATAACAACCCACAATGTTGATGAAGCATGACATACACTGCACGACCACGAAGGCCAGACATAGCCCCATCACTATACCTCACCTTCACCACTTCATGGTCAGGTGAGCTAAAAATGTATATAACAATCCGAAAATTCAAGTTTTTTCTATATTTACAGGATTTATTTTTTATCTTGTGGTATGAAAATTATCATTTTTCACTTGAAGCCACTCATGAAATATTTATTTTCATTCAACTCGATGAAAATAAAATCTTTTATTATATACCTATAAATTTTCTCCTTAAAATACACACCAATAGCTTTATGACACATTACTGCACATTCAGCACAACTTTCTTCTGTTGTTTAACATCTTATATGCTCTATATCCATCATTCAAAAGTTATGAAACACACATGTTTGACATTTCTAAAGAAATATGGAATTCTGAGGCATAATGTGGTGCCATCTCAAATTTCATTTTATTTAGTTTTGCCCATTTTTTCCGCATTAAAAGAGGTCCACTTACGATGTAGGTCTGAAAGCCTTAAGGCATTAAATTTGCAATTATTACTTATATCAACTTTGGTATTTAAAATGGAAAAATCACTTTGTAAAAGATAATTATCAGAAAATTACCCAAAGTGAAGTTGACAAAATTGTAGTTTCTTCTTTCGATCTCAATTAATAGCTTTTCATTTTTGGGTAATTCTTCTTGATTTTAAAGATTAATATATTCTAAAGAAAAAATTTCGGATTGAGGGAAATATTTGAAATTTTTACACACACCTTATTGGTCCAGAACATATTCTCAGATGGTGCACATATTTAGAAAACAATATTTTCCATTCCCATCATCATGCCAAAAAACCCTAATGATGAAGTCGCAATAAGGGCCAATATTCTAGCAGCTTTTTAATGAAATGGCTAGAATTTAGTGTCATACTGGAGGCCTCATGATAATGATCGTGACAATTCATCTGAACACATCTGTGAATGTTTCTTAAATCTTAATTAAAACACCAAGTTTGGTGCATCCGGTATTTTTAAGGGTTTCCATGAATTCTCTCTGTTGATTAAAAACACAACTGAGTTTTTAAGATTTTATAGCTTCAAGAATTTTTGGCTTCACATTAAATATTTCTTGCTAACCAGTATTCCACTCATATAAATAGAGGATATTCAAGTTGTCTTCCATAAATACAAACAGAATATTATGTTGTAGTTAAACTTTCTGGGGCTTTGTATTTCGCTACGAGCAGCCGTAGAAAATTGATATCTCGCGAGACCCAAGGTCGAGCGACATATCAATTTTCCAACGTTGTGAGTAGAAAAATACATAGTGTCAGAAAGCTACTACAACATAATATTCCTTTTTTTATATACCTTTTCGTTTTATTTAGAAAATGAAATGTAGTTGTCAACAAAATAAATTCATTACTGACAGATGAGTATGTTATTCTTGAAAACCGGCCATGCCTTTGATAATTTTGGTTCCCGTTTCCAAATGCAACCTTATACAAAGCTAAGATAGGACCCAATGTCAAAAATAGTCTGTCACTTCCATATATGGTACCGTATTTGTCACTAACATAATACGGAAATTTCTATTCGATGAAAGTTAGAAAGCATAACAATGATACTATATTTACCTATAATTACATGTCTGTCATTCACTTTTATACCGCAGTTTAAATGATTTCTGAGTTAAAAACATGTTCTTTTCAGTGTCTAGATTATAAAAGCCAATTGCATGACTTTTTTCCAGACCATTAGCCAATTCTATTTATGTCATGATTGCTGTATAATGCTACTGTTTCATGTATGTTTTGCGTGAAATTTTCATATTTTCTGGACATTTAATTCATTGGTCAAAATTATTAATTTTTTTTGTAATGAGTATCGATCATTGATTCTTATTATTTTTGATTATTAAATTTTCACATGTAGCTATGCCACTCGTGAAAATATTGCACCTGGTGTCTTCACTCTGAAATATATTTCGATCTTACATGCAAAACAAAAAAGAAACATAACCCTATTTTATGTCAATTTTACAAATGAAAAAGTAAAGTTTTGTTGATGTACTATGCGAACATGTCACAATAAATGTACATTAAGCTTTTTCCCGAAAAACATACAGCAGTGTTGTTGTTTCTTTGGTTTATAGACATTAAGCAATGGTCAATTTATCATTTTTGATAAATCTCCACTGACAATGCGACTACTGGGATTTCCTTACTTACTAAAAATTAGAAATAATATTTTATATAGTAAAAATTTTAAACTGTAATAATATTTAGTAATTGCAACAATTTTATTATATGACATACAATTTAAAATGTACAGATGAAATATTTCCAGTGTTTGACGTTTTAATGTGGCTAGCATGTTATTTGGAGTCACTCAAAAGTACTATGTTACCATTTGGCTATCATTTATACAAACATGATTTTAATATTTTAGGCTGTCTAACACTGGTAATGTTTAATCTTAATATTGGTTTTACCATGTATGATAGTAATAATATTTAGTAATTGCAACAATTTTATTATATGACATACAATTTAAAAAATTGTACAGATGAAATATTTTCCAGTGTTTGACGTTTTAGTGTTAGCTAGCATGTTATTTAGTGTCACTCAAAAGTACTATGTTTACCATTTGGCTATCATTTGTACAAACATGATTTTAATATTTTAAGCTGTCTAAACACTGGTAATGTTTTAATCTTAATATTGGTTTTACCATGTATGATAGTAATAATATTTTAGTAATTGCAACAATTTTATTATATGACATACAATTTAAAATTGTACAGATGAAATATTTCCAGTGTTTGACGTTTTAATGTTAGCTAGCATGCTATTTAGTGTCACTCAAAAGTACTATGTTACCATTTTGGCTATCATTTTGTACAAACATGATTTTAATATTTTAAGCTGTCTAACACTGGTAATGTTTAATCTTAATATTGGTTTTACCATGTATGATATAGTGTTTTAGATGTTTAGTCTCTTATAATTCTTATAGAATGGCTATATACATGTATTTTATATTATATTGTATATAGATGAGACTGGAATAAATAAATAAATATAAATAAAAAATACAATAAAAATAGTTCATATACACATTAACTTTTGTCAAGTTTCCAGGGACATAATGTGTGCCTGGAACATGTTAGGCAATCAAATCCTTACCCTATATAAAGCAGGAATTTTTATTCTTGGCAAAACCAGAAAAAATGACATGTTCTTCCAAAAAATGATTTACAATCAAGAGTATATAGATTCTGTTTTCCCATTAAAATGTAAATGCATTTTTATTATTACATCTTTTGATGAAGGCTGTCTATTTCAATCAGAACAGGCCTACAAATGGCCTTAATAAAAAAATTGAAAAAAAATGTAAGAGAGTGAAACCAGGAAAAAATTAGGGGGGGTGGGAGAAAGGAAAATTTCCAGTAAAAAAAAAGAGAGTATTTTGGAACTTTTTTATATGAATGTTACAACTTTTCTTTTTTCAAATCAATTTTTTCACATATAACAAACTTAACTTGCCCTTCACAGCTGTGGGTTCGAATCCTAACAGGGAGTTTGGATTCTTGTGAGGAAGCTATTCATCTAGCTTGGTGAATGTTGATGGTTCTACTCAGGTGCCTGTTCGTGCCTGAAAAAATGCACCTTAGGTCTTCCTCCACCAGTAAAGCTGGAAGAGCGCCATATAATGACCTATACTGCTATACTGTCTCAGTGAGACATAAACCTCCCTTTCAAAAAAAAAATAATATTGTGCCAAAGTATTAAGACCAGAGAGAGGGGAAGTAAAAGATTATGGATCTGAGAGGGGAAAAAAAACACGAATGGTCCCAAAATCTATCGCACTGGCAACATTTCAATATTAGAGCTGTCCTTGAATCAGTCCAAAGCATATCAATGGTACATCAATAATGGACAACTGATATTGATGATATATCAAGTGTTACATATCTATATTTCACTTTCATACCAAGTTTTACTTAGAGGATATGGAATGAGTGTATGTTCAATACTGAATTTATTGCACAAGTTGAATAAAATCATATTATGCGAGCCTCTGGTGAGCATATTATTTCATTCAACAAGTTCAATAAATTAAGTAAAGAACTTACACAAATTTAATATTCTATTTATCACATACCCCAAAAAAATAAAGACCGTTTAAAGTGAAAAAAAGTTATTTTACATTGACGTGCCTATAGTATAATGCTAGCATTAAGCGCGCCTTTACAGTATGTTTGTAAAATGCTAATGACGTCAAGTCAAAATATATAATCATAGCTGTGCAATACCATTTTTACGGAGTCCCAAAATCGGCAATGGTCTGTGATAAATATCTATATTTCACTTTCATACCTGTTTTCATGATTTCAGTAAAATAATAATTATGTACTGTGCCTAAAAGATTATGACGTGCATTGTTTATAAATGCTCTCTATATATCTTTTTTTCTGACCATCTTTTGTAATCACTGCTATGAAAGATTATTTTCTCTTATGTAATAACAGCATTGTTATAGACATGTCCTTTTAAAACAACACTTGTTACTGTTTATCTTTCGGGTGAAATTTTTGTCATTTCTTGACATTTTATCAATAAGTAAAAAATATGAAGTCTCTTTTTCTGACAATTTTTTGTCACTTATGCTATGAAATATTAAGACAGCATAGTTTAAGCATTGACCTTGTAGCACAGAACTTACTACCATTTTATCTTTCAGATGTATTTTTTGTCATTTCCTAAGAAACTTCATCAATTAGGAAAAATAAAATATTTTTTTCTACCCTGTATCAGCAACTAATTAACAGTGAGAATATATCAATAATACTCTGAATTGTTTCTATAGAAATGGAAGCTCTGATTTTCATTTTGTAGCATCGCCCAACTTCAATCAATTCCGTGCATTGTAAAATTTATACCAGTACCTTAATATCTTGGTGACTAGAATTATTGTCTTGGTTATCATCACTTGATTCAGCAGAATCCAAGACACGCAACCTTTCCTCATCTCCGTCAAAAATAGATTGTAATACTGCTATCTGAAACAAAGATTATAAAATTGTAATTACAAATAAATAGAAAATTTTATATTGTCTCTTGAAATAAAATTCAAATATATGTACCTATTTTTCCATGAAAACTGCACACACACTGGTATACATTAACAGAGAATAAAACATGCTTTTACAAATAAACTCACGCAAGCATGCTTAATATATACATAGAATCTGATGGTTTAACATCTCGTGTTGTTTGTCCTTTAAATGGCACATTTTTTTATGCCTCTGAAAGGAATAATTGTTTGTTCTTCTTTAGAAAGGCCAAACATGAATGTAATAACCTTTATAATAATGGTTTAAGAGCATGATATCATAAACACAGTTACAGATTTTTAACAGTTGTAACACTGTGAATATAAACATACAGAATGTTTTTTAGTTTCATTTTTTTTTTTTTGTTGGGTTTACATTCTACCAACACAGTAGAGGTCATTATGGCAACTTTGGAAAAAAATCTTAGGTGTCCTGCCATGCATTATTTCAGGTGCCCCGGTGTTATTATTATTTCAGGTGCCCCGGTGCCATACATTATTTCAGGCACCGTGCCATGCATTATTTCAGGCACCCTGCCATGCATTATTTCTGGTGCCCTGACATGCATTATTTCAGGCACCCTGCCATGCATTATTTCAGGTGCTCTGCCATGCATGATTTCAAGCACAAACAGTCTAGTAGAACCATTTACAATCTAATGTCCCTACATAGACAGTAACATTGTAACCCTTAATATAAGCATAAAACAGTATCAGTGTCATTGTAATTATCATTTATAGAGAGATATTGTAACATTGTTATGATACATATACTGACTTTAACACTGTTATCAACAGGATTGTCAAAAGTTACATAGACTATAAGCATAGCTATAAAATATAAATTATATCAATAGTTTGAACCTTGTTATCATGAACATAGATTATAACATGAATGATATCATAAACATACATTGTAACTAACAATTTGTTATCATGAAAATCAACAATAACAATTTTATCATTAACACAGACTGTAATATTGTTATCATGACCATAGACTGTAACATTGATATCATTAACATAGAATGTTACATTGTTATCAGGAACACATAATGTAACATTGTATCATGACCATAAACTGTAACATTGATATCATTAACATAGAATGTAACATTTATATTATTACCATAGTCTGTAACATTGTTATCATTAACATAGAATTAACATGACCTTAGAATGTAACATTGTTATCATGATCAAAGACCGTAACATTGTTATCATTAACATTGAATTTACCATTGTTTTCATGAACATAGTTTGTAACATTGTTATCATTAACATAGAATGTAACACTGTTATCATTAACATAGCATGTAACATTGTTATCATGAACATAGAATGTAACATTGTTATCATGATCAAAGACCGTAACATTGTTATCATTAACATTGAATTTACCATTGTTTTCATGAACATAGTTTGTAACATTGTTATCATGAACATAGAATGTAACACTGTTATCATTAACATAGCATGTAACATTGTTATCATGAACATAAAATGTAACATTGTTATCATGAACTTAGAATGTAACATTGGTATCATGAACATAAAATGTAACATTGTTATCATGAACTTAGAATGTTACATTGTTATCATCAACATAGACTGTAACATTGTTTTCATGAACATATATCATAAACATATCCCATTGTTATCAGAAACTTTACCATTGTTATCATGAACGTAGATTGTTACACTGTTATCATGAACATATTACATGTATTGTTATCATTAATTTACAATCAGAAACTTACACTGTAAAATTGTTATCAATGTTTTGTTTTCACTACAGTCCTTCTTTATAATGATAGTATACTGATATACATGTATGCATAGATAAAACATCCAAGGCTTAAGACAGAGAAATATTAACCATTTTACATCAGCAAAATTATTTCTCGGAATAATTCATTTGTCAGCAACACTCTTTTCTAGAGATATTGTCAAGGATAATCTGGAATTCTGCAAATGCGGGAATTTAAAACACCTGTAACCCCTGGGTACAAACAGACTTTTACAATAACCGTAACAACTTGGAAAAAATATATCAATAATATTAAGTGTAACCCATCGATCATTTTATTGTGAATGGTAATGCTTAGTAATTCACCATGTAGCCAAAATGGTAAAAAAAACAAATTGAATTTTTTTAGTTCCAGATTTTATCTATTACCTCTTCATGTTGGGCTTGAATATTTTCCTGGAACTCTGTAAGGTTATGTGTATCAGGAAGGCCCCCTTCAGCCATTGTTGTCCAAACAGTTTTTTCTCTGGCCTAATATGTACAAAAGAAACAAATGAGCCACGTCATGACAAAATTAACATAGTGCATTTGCGACCAGCATGGATTCAGACCAGGCTGGGCATCCGCGCATTCTGTTCAGGATCCATGCTATTTGCTTCCAAACCTATTAACAGGTAGAGAAACTGATAGCAAACAGCATGGATCCTTATCAGACTGTGCGGATGTGCAGGCTGGCCTGGATCCATGCTGGTCGCAAACGCACTATGTTGGTTTTGCCGTGATGTGGCTCAAATATAATATTATATTACAATTTAATATGCAAAAGGTGTGTCAATGTGTAATATAAATAAAAATTTCATAACAATTTGTACATACATGTACTGTACATATAATGGTCATAAAATTGATGGCTCTAAAAAGCAAGTCTGTTAATTTGGGAATAGAAATTTCATTAAATGAATAGCCTTTTAAATTACCACTTAGTAAATATACATTTAAAGCTGCATGCCTCCAGATGACCCAAAATATTTTTAAAAAAATTAAACTTAGAAAAAGCATACTAAAACTTTTGAGAAAAGTAAACAAATTAAAGATTCAAGTGATAATTTATATCTTATGTGCAATTTATAACTGTATTTTGAAGCATTTATCACAATATTTCTACTGCATTAAATGCAGTTGGGGTTATTTATGCATATTTTGACCTCTCTTTGGTAATTTATGTCGATTTTAAGTGCCGATTGTAATATGTCAACTACTTTCTTTATTCATTTCACAATATTTTACCTTTAAATACATTCTGCAAAATTTTCATGAAAATTAGGATGAATCTGGAGGCGTGCTGCTTTAATATGTGTATCTGACCATGCAATATGAACACGGGTATTTAAATTCAATAATCTCATCTTAATACTTACAAAGTTTTAAATTATCTTTCTTTTTTTGATTGCTGAAATAAACGGTTAAGATAGTTTAGAATTTTTTGGAAATGAAGACGAGTCTCAATTATACCTTACAATACATTGGAGTTTAATTTGACACAGCTGTAGATGTAATGCAGTCTATTAACTTGTAAGCCTGTCTTATTAAAACAGAAAAATTTTTAAATTTCAGACATAAAACATTGTACCAACTAATGACACAATAACGATGTTTCCACTAAAGCAAGAAATGCAATATTTTCTTAAGTCAAGCAACAAAAACGTGACAATGAATAGATCTGTCTACTTTATTTGATAATTGATCCACATTGTTTCAATCCAGTATAAAACATTGACAATAAAGAACAGATTTTACTAAACCCTTTAAATTCTCAATTTGTGTAATGGATATTTTCTGTTTTGAATATTGAACAGTTCATTCAATGGGATTTCAATTTCAAAATACAAAACTGAGCTACCAAACTGTACCGAGTCTGGTAGGATGATACAGACTTGCATGATGACCTGGTTGGACTATACTGGTGGCAAAGGCTACACTCTTCTGGCTCTTAGTATCTTAAACCCATGTACTGCTGATGATAACTGATTCGTAACCCATACAACCTCAGTGCAAGACCAAGTTTAGACAGCATGCCTGTGTTGTCTGATTTTGACCTGCACTGTTTGCTATTCAGTCAGTGCTAAAACTGATGAATTTGAGCTGTGTCACAACAAAACCAACATAATGGGTTTGCAACCAGCATGGATCCAGACCAGTCTGTGCATCTGCGCAGTCTGATCAGGATCCATGATGTTCACTATCAGATCCTCTACTTGTTATAGGGTTTGTAAGCGAACAGCATGGATACTGATCAGACTGCGCGAATGCGCTGGCTGGTCTGGATCCATGCTGGTCGTAAACCCATTATGTTGGTTTTGTCATGGGGCTTCTCATTTAAAGGTTTTGTCAACAAGTCCATTTAAACGGACTCCAATGAGGTATTTTTGACATGACAGGACTTGAAATAATTTTTCTGGATTACTGTTCCATTGCATGTACCGGGTCTAGACCATTTGTGTGCAAATTTTAATTCAATTTGATGACACTGTTTTTCTTTCAGAATGATTATTCTTATTGTCAAAAATGATCTAAAATTGAACACTTTTTACTCATATTGAGCTAAAATAACACACAAATGAGAACTCAGATTTTCAATTTATTCCGAGTATATTATTTAAACAACTTTTGCATAATCTCTCTGATTTAACAGACAGAAATATTCAATCAAAGTATTAAGTTTATTGTTCTCTGGTGAGCTTTAAATAATAATTAAATGACAATAGTTGTCATGATGAATGTCCTGCTATGTTGTTATATACATGTATTTAATAGTAAACTTTTATTGCCCCAACTTATTTTTCATAAATACTTCATACTAGCTTTATGTGCAAATAACTCATGGTGAAGATACAGTATTTGCCATAAATACAAAACAAAGAATATTTAACAGTTGGAATCTATTATTTCATCGCTGTTTTATTAATGTTCTATGAACTCTTTAACTGACGACCACATTAAAGTTTGTTAGCTGACAAGAAAAAGCAATTTATTGAGTGTCTTAAATTACAAGTTACAGAAAAAATCAATATATTGTTCTTTAAGCATTATGAAAAGAATTGATTAATACATGTACTTGTGAGAAAATTATTATCAAGATTTCTCATGATGTTAACACTAAACAAGAGGGCCATGATGGTCCCAGATTGCTCACCTGAGATTTTCTCTTTAGAGATCCATTGCTAAACATGAACATGGTATTTAGAGCTGTCAAACATTTTTGGACAAATGTGACTTTGACTTAATGACCTCAGACTCTATAGGGGTTATCAACTTGCCATTGTCCTATTAACAAGTTTCAAAAATCTTCTCTTATTCATGATTTCAAATATTTTTCATTCAAGCGGAAATTTCAACAGTAGAAAACTAATCAATTAAAAACAAGAGAAAGCAAGATTCAGTTAAAAATTTTTATCAACAATAAGCTGCTGTCATGAAAAAGTTTGGTTATTTCTAATGAAATTGAATACATCTTTTATACTTTCTGAATTTTTTTCAGTTTTAGGGGGTACAACACACTATTTTAAAGGGGGAATTGGGCCCATATTTGGCCCCAAATTTTACCAAACCAGACCCCTGTCATGCTGTTGACCCAACATGGATTCTTTCATTAAGTGTTACTGTGTTCTTGACCTTTGACCTTTTGACCTAATAATATACAGTATTCATTTACTGGCAATGTAGCTACAAAGTTTCATAACCTCCATGTAGGTTAATCCCTTTCAAGAAATTGAAGTTTAATCCCTTTCAAGAAATTGAGTAGACATCAATTTCATAATTATTGTCTATGTAACCTTGACCCTTAGCCTCATGACCTCACAATTAATACATGTAGATATCATGTTTTGTCCATTGGCAAATGATGAATGTCCCTTCAAAATTTCACTGACCTAGGCTTGGTCCTTTTCAAATTATTGAACTGACATGGATTTTTTATAAGTGCCAATGTGACCTTGAACTTTGACCTTTCATCTACTGACAATGTGCCTACTTAGTTTTGCTTGCCTAGGCTTATTCCTTTTCAAGTTTGAGGGAACAAGAAGCTTCTACTATATTTCACTGATGCCTTCAGTGTTTTTTTTCTTTATATAACTACTACCCTAAAACGGTACCATTCCCAATAGAAAATAGACATTAAAATTCCCAACTTCCAATGTTAAATTCCCAAAATGACTGTTCAAATTGGCCACAAGGCAAAGTGATTTTTCTAAAATCATTTCAATCCAAAATATTTATATAAATCACCACTCAATAGTTCTATCTAGACAGTAGAAGCTGTTAGCTATCTTTATTCATGATGTCTAATCTCATTTGTAGCTGAAAAAATGCATTAAAAAATTCCCAATTTTAGTCAAAATAACGCATTTTTTCCCAATCAGTCTGGTACCGGCACCATTCCCAAAGTAGAGAAAAAAATGCTGGCCTTGACCATGTTGACCTGATGACCTCAAAATCCATAATGATCATATACTAACCAAGGACAATTGTCCCAACAAGTTTCACCTGCTGAAGCTTATTCCTTCTCAAGTTATAGAGCAGACAAGAATGCCCGATTATTGTCACTGTGACCTTGTCCTTTCATTGAATGACCTTAAAGCTGTATGTCTCCAGATGAGCTAAAATATTTCAAGAAAATCAAACTTGGCAAAAATGTACTGAGATTTTGAAAAAAAAAGTAAAAAGATTCAATATTCAAGTAATGATTTACATGATGCGAACGATTAATGACTGATTTTGCAGTATTTATCACCATATTTCTATTGCATGAATAATGCAGTAAGGGCTTTTTTTTTGCATATTTTTGCCCTTCTTTTGGTAATTTACTTAGCTTAATTGTAAGTGCTGGTTGGAATATGTCAATTACTAAGCATGAATGATAATCTGGAGACATGCTACTTTAATATTCAACAATGATCATCTATTTTACATGTTACATGTACGTGCCGTTAAATTAATCTGACTGATTTTAAAATATATACAACTATATTTCAACTTTTTGGTAATTAACATGGGTAATAAGTTGCCATTGATAATTATGTGCAAATTGCTTCCTTTTGGTTATTTCACAATACTTATTATACATGCAAATACATTTTAAAATTTTTCATGAAAATTAGCATGAATCTGGAGGTGTGCTGCTTTAAGATTCAACAATATTTTTTTTTTGAAGTTGTGAATAAGTGCAAAAGTTTCTGTGTAAGTAAGAGGTTTTACTCAATATAACATGAGATTATTTGAGGCATCTGCTAACTGTAAAAAAATGGAAATCAGTTGTGTATGATACAAATGCACAAGATTATTGGGTCTGTGTAGTGTATCCAGGTCAATAAAATGATGCAGACTTGCAATGACGCATGACGTCTACCCACTGAAATTCAGGTTTACATAATCAGGGCCAAAAAACCCTGCATTGTAGAGGCCGAGTATAGGCTGCTTCCACAGACGCTTGGGGGTCAGATCCTGCCCCCCAACGTGATACGCCCTTGTAAACACTCTACCAAAA